CGCCCATCGCCGCCGCGCTCGCTCGGCTGACCCGGACGAGCTGCGACGCCGCCGGTTGACGGCCTCCGCCGCCGCCGCCGCCGACGACGAGCGCTGGGTGACGGAGTACATGCGCTGCTTCTCCGCGCGGGTGGACGCCAGGCCGCGCCTCTAAAAACAAACAAACAAAACAAAACAAAACAAAAAACCCGCAGCACAGTTGTACTCCGAGGCTTCAACCTAGCGGTCTGAAAAGACGTTTCAAAACGTCTTTGGGAGTGGATGAGCTTTAAAGGGGCGGCGACTTTGCTCAATGAAGTCAATCGAGTCGTCGTCGTCATCAAAACACATTTTTGGAGCCGATTTTGAAGGAGGACAAAGCGCGCTCGTTTGTTACTCGCGGAGGAACGCCGAAGGATCCTTGGGCCATCGCCGCGGGATCGGAGTTCAAAGAGCACTGATCTCCAGCTTTGCCGGCGGTGAACTGGACGCTCGTTTCGTTAGCCCACCCATGGCGTTCGGCACCAAGCCGAACCTTAATTTAAAACCCTCCTTTTTTTTTTTTTTGTTCTGGGGAGTTTTTCGGGGGCGGGGCTTTTTGCATGCGAACGCCGCAACGGAACAAGAAAGTGGCGTGACGGACAAAGCGGAAAGTACACGCCCACTCATGTTGAGACACCTTTGTCCCTCGTGACTTTCTCAATGTTCCCGGAAAAAGATGAGAAATAAAAACGACTTCAACAAATCCGCCGCTTGCTTTTGACTGACACGCTCAACGCAGGCCTCCGTTTTGAAAAGCTCAAAAGAAGTGCGGAAAAGACGAACGGTTCAAAGTGTCACTTGGTTTATTGACAACAACAAACACTCAGACTTTAAAAAAAAACAAAAATATTCTCAGCAAAAACGAGAATAACTTAAAAAAAAAAATCGACGACGTTCACGGAAGTCCTGCCGCCAAGATGCTTCCGACGAGCGTGCGATCCTTAAGTGCATTTTCAACCGCCTTCTCGTCAATCTTCAGGAACACCTGAAGACACACACACACACACACACACACACACACACACACACACACACACACACACACACACACACACAGCCCAAGTCCATTTTCTGACCATTGAGAAATTCATATATTCAAAAGGTAGGCGGGTTTTGTTGATTGGCAACGTAAGATGGCCGCCGGTGGTTTCATTTTTGCCTGATGGCGAGTAAGCAGCGTTTGAACGCAGCGACCGACAGTTTCGGGGGCAAGCGGAGTCCATCTTACGTTGCCGCTCGCCAAGCGGAGTCCATCTTACGTTGCCGCTCGCCAAGCGCACCCCCGACTCGAAAACATAACATCTTCAACGCAGCGTTCTCGCATTATGCTGAACATTAGCACGAGGCGCGCTGGCGCACGCTTTGCAAAGTGAGAAGCCTGAAAATGACAAATTTGCTCAGAGAGGTGCAGAAGTTGCCTTTTCAACGACACAAAAGTAACAGGAGGGGTCAGTCACGGCGGCAAGGCAAGATGGCCGCCCGACAGTCCAGGTTAGCGTTTTTTTTTTGAGGTCGGCGGCAAAGCGGAAGCGAGTCGTCGGATGCCGAAAAGCGACGGCGTCGGTCGGGCTTTACCTTGCTGAGCCGAGCTTCTTTGGCCTTCTTGAGGGCGAACACCCCGCGGCTCTCCAGCAGCGCGCAAAGCGACAAACACTCCGACTGGCTGACTCCGCCCACCTGGCGCCGAGCGCACAGGCGGCTGTGAACCTCGTGGAGCTGCGAGGGCGCGACGACAAGCAAAAAAAAAAAAAAGGTCACGCGCGCGGGCCGTTTTACGAAGGCCGGGCGGGCAAAAAGCGCGGCTCGCGCCGGGGTGTCACCTTGCCGAGGGCCACCTCTTTGCTCTTGCCGGCGCGCACCAACATCAGCAGGCAGCACACCAGAAGTTTCTGCTGCAGCGGGAAACTTTCGCCGGCGCACGACGCCACGCGGTCGCCGTACGCCTCGGAGAGGACGCGCGCCACCTGGGCCACGCCGGCCGACGACTCTGTGGAAGCACACGCGGCATATCTTGACGTCAACGCCGTCGCTTGGACAGAAGACGCCAAAGGGCAACGCCGACGAGCGACATTCGGACCTTCGTCGGGGCGCCGCTCCGCCTTCTTCCCGCGTTCCGACTCGAAGATCTCGACCGCCCGCCTGTTGGGACACACCGGCGAGGCGAATCAAGCCACGCGTCAACAGGGTTCCCACTCTTCCACTTGCTTTTTATTTATGGACCTTTTAAGGACTTTTGAGGACTCATTTAGCAATTTTTAAAGGATTTTTTTCTCCTCCATTCAGCAGGGGATTCAAGGTGGATTTAATGCCCGCTCAGCAATATGCGGGCTGAACAGAAAGCCACATCTCACTTGAACTCGTGTTCAAATCATTGCTGCGAAAGGAAGGGCACATCTTTATTTTTAGGGGCAATCAGCTAACATTTATTTGACATACCGTAAAACTTGAATTCATTCTCAAATAAAGTACACTAAGAAAAAAATTAAATGTAGAAAATATAAAACGTCCATTTATTTTTGAATAAAAATAATTTTTAAGGACTTTTATTGATTTTTTAGAAGCTTGCCCTGAAAATTAAGAACATAATTTTACAACTTCTTTTTTGATGGATTTTTATGAACTTTAAGGACCCGTGGGAACCCTGGTCAAATCCGCGGTTCCGATTCCCGACGCGTCCACGGGGACCGACCTGCAGATGTCCAAAGCCTTCCGGGCGTC